ACGTGAGATTAAAAAATATGAAAAAATTTTGGGTTTACGTGTTGTCTGAAAGCATGATTGAAAATAAGTACGTAAAAAAAGAATTTTGAAATAATGATTGTCAAGCAAAGGCTTACTTTCACTTATAAGTAATTACTTTACTTATGAGTAAACAATTTTTAAGCTTGCCAAACATGCTTCTAGTCTATTAGAAAAATGCAGCACTTGGCCATATAAAGTGTAAGATCCAAGAAGACAAGATTTGCCTCACTGTTCAAATTAAGGTATACATTCTGTAGACATTTGTGGGGCTGACAGCGACATTGTTGGCCAATGTTTCCAAATTGCAGGATTTTTGCAATACTTTTAACATAATCGATGCATTTGATAGAGTGAATAGAATACTTTTAACATAATCTAAAGAAAAGTAGAAATTATATTTCAAAAAGGTGCAAATTGATCACCAACTATTTATTATAATTGACTAATGATGATTCAAATTGTCTAAATTAGTTTTAAACCGTCACGTGATCCGTCGAATCCAATTTTATGAATTATGTTGTTTTTGTACTCGAGTAGCGATTTTAAATTTGAAGTCAAACAAGCTATCATCTGGACGATATTCCTTCTAAATACTTTAATTTTTAATGAGCATTTGATAAAGTGCATGCCCTTTGGCATCTCCATGATTCAACAGTAATAAAGCAAGTCAATGCTATGCTTGTAGTGTGAATTTGACCTTCTAATTTTTGTGCCCTTTTGTCTCAACGCAAGCGAAGAAGCATGTTTAATAGATAGTATTAAATATATTGAATTAGACTTTTTTCTCATTTAATATCTTCTAATTTACAAAATTAAACATGCCAAAGATATGAATGGTAATGACCCTTGATGTGAAAGAACTGTAATATTTTTTTACTAATTTAATTTTGGAGTTAATTCTTGACTTCTAATTTAATTCGATCCTAGTGAAGAACCTTTTTTTTGTATTAGCAAGAAATAAAATATGAAATTATCACAATGTTGAATATTGACATCAAAATCTATCAACGATCAAATTGCATAAAAAATTTCATTTTTTTGTTGATGTCAAGATAAACCCACAAAAGAATATACACGAACACTCGACGCTGAGGTTTACCGTGGAAACCCTTCGACACTAAAGTTAATTTTTTCTTACCTTAATTATATGAAAATAAATAACTCACTTATTTAGCGATGGCAAAAAAACTCGCCCCGCCCGCCCCGCCCCGTGAAGAGTAAAAAAAAAATAATCCGCCCCAACGGGTTGGTGGGATGGGGCGGGGAGGGGGTGCCCCGCCCCGAAGCGCCCCGAACCCGCCCCGTGAAAAATAAAAAAAATAATTAACTACAAATTAAAAACAAAAAATAGTTAATTGGAAGTTTTTGAAAAAAATAAATAAATAAACGGGGCAGGAAACGGGACAAGTCTGCACCCCGAACCCGCCCCCACCCCGCCCCGTCTAAGGTGGGGCGGGGTGGGGCGGGGAGCGGGACGGGGTGGGGGAGTGGCAGGGCGGGGTGGGAAAAAAAGGGGTGCCCCGAACCCGCCTCATTGCCATCTCTACACTTATTTCTAACATCACTAACCAAAAATATTTATTTTAAAACTTAATTCTTACTTAAAGGCAAGCTTTTTAAATTTAGGGTGTTTGGTGAGGATTAAAATTAGATTGTGATAGATGTTTTTGAAATGTGTGGTTGAAAAGTTGTGGGACTCGTGAAAAATGTGGTTAATATTGATTGTTTGACTTTGACTTTGATTAAAATTAGATTTTAATTCGGACCAAACAGAGGCTGAGTCAAATAGGCTCTAAGTTTCAAAAATTGATAATGAATGTGAAATAGTTTTATTGCATGGGGCTTGAGAATGCCAATAAACAATCATTAATTGATTTTATATACAAGAATTAAAGAAGAGCCATCTCCAGAATGGACGTTGTTGACCTCAAACTTCGATCAAATTTCTTCAATATCTACGAAGTCGAATCCCTAAAGTTTGAACGCATTTTACATATAATGCGATGAAAGTTTCACATTTCTTGTTTACAACTTCATCACAAGCTAATATATGGATTTTAAGCTCAACTAAAAGTAACACTACAAGGTTGAAGGAAAAAAATTTTGTTGCAAAATTCGACACTAAATCATTACTAAGTTTGTTAATGTCAACAAGATGTTACCAACCTCGATTGCCGTTGTATTGAAAAGATTAATTCTATATAAAGTAATGCTATTTAATTTAGAATGCTAATGATCGTGTCAATTTATATGATAGTGAGATCACTGTCACATTGTCCAATGAAGTTGAAATACATTTTTATTTATTGAACAAAGTGATCTGACTTTACTGTCACATATAGCACAGCATCAACTCTCTAGATGAATAGTACTATTCTTCGCCTAATAATAAAATCATACTTTAGTGTGCATCGCCCACAATATATCTTTCTCTAATTTACTAGAAAAGCCAATGGTTATCAGTACATCGAGTAGATCTATACTATATATATTACGCCCAAATTAAAATAAAACTTAAATTATTTATATATTCAATTACTAAACATTCACTATTTACCTTTTGAATATGTTATGATGTAGATAAATATAATAGAGAATTTTAAATTATTATTTCAATATGATCAAACTAATATTTTATTAATTAAATTAAAAAGAATTGGCCGTAGACTTTATTGACATGTAATTTTATCTATTTAACAGAATATATTTTATGATAAAAATATAATTAGAAGTGCACGCACGAGTCACGACCGGCAAGCGTGAATCATTGGCCCGATGTTGACAAGGTGCGTATTTACTTGTTTGTTAATTCAATATAATTTTTACTAAGACTTAAATATTATAAACTAGAAATAAATACTATTTTGACATTTGGACTTTAAATACTCTATGATAGGAACATAAATAATAAATATTGAGAGAACTATTTTCGAACAAGTTATCTAGCCCCACTTATTTTATAATACTAGTCTATGTGATTTAAGACCTGAGATTTCATCTTAAAAGATCAAAATAATTAAGAAAAGTTGCTCAAGCCTTTATATAATGATCTTCATTTTTAGTATTTAATCGATGTGAGAATTATCCTTTTAACACGTTGGTAGCTCATTTGAGCGAACTAATTTTAAAATTTGCGTAATTATTTTCGATTTTAAATCACATTGAATTGCTGTTGGAGTTTAATGGACTCCAATACCTAAAATTTTGAGTTTTATTTTAAAATGCCAACTTAGTTAATAATAGTATCACAAATCCTTATACGTTGGTCTATATTTCAGTATTTAACCGTTGTAGAATTTATCTTTTAACAGGTTGCACTATGTGATATGCTCAATTAAATGTAAGATTATATGATTCATTTATTTGTCCATTTCACTTAATGCCACCTATACTCGTTCGTGTTATAATACGAATAGTGCTAAATAACATTACTTACAATTTTATGCAAATTTAATTTCGTAAACAACAAAATTTTAGTTAAATTCTAGGATTTTACAAGAAATTTTCTCATGATCAAATAACTTTATCCCCATTGATTGGGAAATTATTCTATATACATTCTACTCCGTTCGAGGCTAGAGAAGAATACTTAATTGAGTAGTGAGTATCTGCTTCTTTTGCGAGAGCTGAGAAGTAGTGAAGGGTCAAGCTCAAGCAACCTTGAACACTGGTAGAAGGCCATTTGGAGGTTAATATTGTTAGGTTCAAAGTTCATTGGCAAAGTTCTATGTCAAAAAAGTCATTTTATCAAGTTGTATTTAGGGTTAAGTTGTCGGGGGATTGTGAGTGTCTTTGGAAGGAATCAAAGTTAATTCAAGAAGATCAAGTTAAGGTAAAAATCGCTTGTTGGTCTTCAAGTTAACCGCTCGGGTAGTTTTAGCAGAACTAGATCGCCCGCTGGCCTCCCAGTTGCACTCAAATGGTTGTCATTTGGTGAAACCCTTGTTCGCGATTTTCAACATTTTAACAATTACAAACAACCCATAACTCTCCATATTATGAATATCTAAGGTAAAATTATCCCTATTGTGTGTTGAGCCTTTATTATTCAAGAAAACACATTGTTTAACATTAAATACTCATTCCATAATTTTCTTGCCTCAACCACAAGAACAAAACATCAAAGATCGAAAAAATGAAAAACATCAAATAAACTTCTATCAAATATTTTTCAGAGTTCTTAAAATCCAGAGAGTTGACTATTCATGATAGTGAAAAACGAGTTTGTTCTTGGTGATCCACGAAGAGAAGAAGTTCAGAGGTTCTAGAGCGGGTGTTGCCTGTTGGAGTGCACAATCGATAAGTTTTTTTGATAATTACAGGTTGGGGGTCAGAGTACTAAGATTTAGTTATGTTATGGCCAATTCTGTAAGTTAAATTTTATCTAGTGGATTATTTACTAGCATGTCTGTCCGGAGGTTTTTTTTCTCTTGAAAAGTTCTTCGAGGGTTTTTCTTTCTTAATCAAATCTTGGTGTTGATTACTTTTTTGCTTTGTTATTTATGCTTGATTGATTGATAGGGTTTAAACTGTTTTTAATTCATCTAGATATTATTTGTGCCTTATTGTATGTTATTGTTCGTTAGATGTTAGTTGGATCGAACCTCGTTTCCTTCAAATATCACCACATAGATTGCAGCCAAGGGCGGACCCAGCACCCGGTGAGGGGACGCCGCCTGGTTGTTGACTGTTGCAGAAAGAATAGAGAAGGATAGAGAAGACGGGGAGGATTGAGGAAGAAGATGGATACTGTTGACGTGGGCCTTATTTTTTTAGTTTTGGCCCATTTGTTTTAGGGTGAGAAAGTTGGGCTTTTTTTAAAAATGAGGCCCAATTAAATGAAATAATTTTCATCATCATCATCATCATCATTATACGGTATAATTGAATAGTTTTACGAGAATTTGATCAAAGTTGGAAGAAAATTTTGAAGAAATGAATAAAATGATGGTAGCAGTGATGGAGTTTCTGATGCTGTCATGGTGGGAGGTGCAAGTCACGATGGTGGCAGTACCGCAGTGGCCTTTGTGTTGGTAGCGTACTGGTTTTTCACTCTAGATAGCGAGGCATGTGGTGGTTGCTTTGATCAGATGTCAGTTGATGGTTCATGTGGCAGTGGAGATGTGATTGACGATAAAGACAAGGTCATAATTGTTACTTTCGCTAATTTGGATTGATAGTTGCAACTTTGACGTCGATTTTTTTTTTTTTTTTTAACATAATTTCCTGATCAAAAAATTAAGTTGATTTCTCTTGAAGATTTCTATTTTCGTCTCTCTTTGATTTTTTTTCCCTTCCCTTGAGAGTAGTTGAAAAACATAGCAGTGGTTTTTATTGGCTAAGCTTAAAATTTACTTATTTTTGTACTTCATTTGTAACTAGTAAGAATAGGAATATTTGAAAATTTATACTTCTTAGTAATTTTATGTTTGCCGAAGTAATGAATCGTTTTTACATTTTAGTTTATTATAATGTCATTAAGTTTAAGTTTAATACAATTTCTAAATGGTTATTATTTAATAATAAATGTTTATAACAAATGGTTAAATATTAATAAACGGCATCGCTCTTACGATCGCTGATTGTCGACGGTCAATGATCAATATCCGTCAGGACTGAACTTTTGTGCTGGGTCCGCCTCTTATTGCAGCTAGGGAAAAAGAATCTATCAAAAGGTTCCTGTTTCTCCAGTGTTTGTAGGGTGTGGGAAAGATGAGTTTACTTGATTGAATGAGCAACTCGAAATTCATGTTTTTTGTTATCCTTTTATGGGCAATCTGGGATGTACATAATCGGATCAGTCATAGAAGGGGGTGGAAGGCAGTGTTAGTTGATAAATTTTATATTAGTTAAATATTAAAATATAGACCAATTTATAAATATTTGAGTTACTCTTAACGAGATTAACCTTTTAAAGATGGAATTTCATATCTTAATGTACAGTAGCCTTGGTGGTGGTGCAGGTGGTGAATGTAAAATATCAATTGGGCTTAGTTTCATCTCTGTCTGAGGAAAGTGCTCGGAATGGTGATTATGGATATGAGTGGTGAGTGACGCGAGCCTAGCAGAAGAAAGTAGTGAATTTCTCGTGCAAGCCACTCTTCAACTCACACGTAATAGAGAAAATAAATAATGAAAATATTAAAAATTAAAACTTGTACTCTATTTGAGTCTATACGAATAAAAAAATATTTATCAACCAAGGACAAGGAGCTCAATTTGAAACGAGACCCAGATACTAAATGTGACGCTGTCATGGAGACTTTGTAGCATACAAACGAGTGAATGTCCTAAAGCAAATGAATATGGAGAAAGTTTGTTGCGTCTCAACAAATCTCTACACATTACAAATTTACAATTTACATCTATCAATGGAAAGTTTACAAACTGAATGAACCGGAATTTCAAAAGCAGGAGCATCTTAATTATTTTAAATGGAGCACTAACTTTTCTTGCATTGAAAAATGGAAATTTGGGGAGTTTAAAATGACAATTTATTGATTCATCCCATTCAGGGGCGGATCCAAGATTATGGTTCAGTAGGGGCGATACACAATCACGTAAAAAAAAAATTCAAATAAATTGGGAAAGAAACCAAAAAAAAATCTGAAATCTGAATTTAAAAAAGCCGCATTTGAAATCTAATGGGGGGATGGCACCCACTCGTCCCTTCATAGGTTCGCCCCTGGTCCCATTTTCGCAAAAAGAGCAGGTTTGAGAAGTGTTTACAAACGATTTAAATTATAAAATAGATAGAATTAAGTGATGAATAAGTAAGTATTGACTTAAGTGTTTATTAGTGATTTATAAACATGAGCCAAAGATGGGCTTATGAAGGATATTCAACGAGTCTTTTTAATCGAAGAAAAAACATTAANTATATATATATATATATATATAATTGAATTTCACGAATTTCAAAAATGTAACTGAGCTATGATATGAACTGATGTAGTTGGAAGCGCGCGTCAAACAAATAACAACCAAGGATAAAGCCACTATGCTCGAAAAAAATGGATCGAGGCTTTGACAGCCTCTCACAGCGCCCGACCCCACATGAATAAAAAAATGCAAAAAAAAGTGGACCCCACCCCCCTATTGTGAGGGTCGGTCAGCGCTCCGTCAAAAATTTTCGGGCACTGCAGCACAGTCCAACAACCAAAGCCCATAGATTCACACAGAGAGCTAGGAGTTGACACTCAAAACTCGTTGATTCACGAATATCGAAAATTGATCATTGATCAACAAAATTGGTATTATGAAGAAGAGTAATGTTATTCATAGTCGCTCATTGCAGCAGTCGCTCTATGTGGCACACATATGGCATGTAGTTATTTTATGCATTAACGTGGTCCTTTTTTTACCACATTAATGCATTAAATACACACTTGACATATGTGTGCCATATATGACGATTGCTGCAGTGAGCGACTGCAAAATAGCATTATTCTATGAAGAATACAACTATTGTATCGATAAGAATTAAAACAAATTCAACTTCTATAATTTTCATTCAATAATCAGTCAGTGAGTACAATGACGTCTTCAATATTTAAACACATTTGCTAGAAGTTAAAGGGTCATGATAAAAATGAAATACAGAAAACACAATTTTCTAAACAAATATAATTAAATAGATATGAATCATATTGAAACCATGAGCCATCGATTGTTGTATCCAGGCCTNAAACAAATAACAACCAAGGATAAAGCCACTATGCTCGAAAAAAATGGATCGAGGCTTTGACAGCCTCTCACAGCGCCCGACCCCACATGAATAAAAAAATGCAAAAAAAAGTGGACCCCACCCCCCTATTGTGAGGGTCGGTCAGCGCTCCGTCAAAAATTTTCGGGCACTGCAGCACAGTCCAACAACCAAAGCCCATAGATTCACACAGAGAGCTAGGAGTTGACACTCAAAACTCGTTGATTCCCGAATATCAAAAATTGATCATTGATCAACAAAATTGGTATTATGAAGAAGAGTAATGTTATTCATAGTCGCTCACTGCAGCAGTCGCTCTATGTGGCACACACATGACATGTAGTTATTTGATGCATTAATGTGGTCGTTTTTTTACCACATTAATGCATTAAATACACACTTGGCATATGTATGCCATATATGACGACTGTTGCAATGAGCGATTGCAAAATAGCATTATTCTATGAAGAATACAGCTATTGTATAGATAAGAACTAAAACAAATTCAAGTTCTATAATTTTCATTCAATAATCAGTCAGTGAGTACAATGACGTCTTCAATATTTAAACACATTTGCTAGAAGTTAAAGGGTCATGATAAAAAAGAAATACAGAAAACACAATTTTCTAAACAACTATAATTAAATAGATATGAATAATGTTGAAACCATGAGCCATCGATTGTTGTATCCAGGCCTGTAGCTGCGTCACTACTCCAAACACTCAAAAAAGTTGAAGTAATGCACAAGAGAAGACATGAAAGATAGGAGCATGCTTGAAATGAAGGTAGCCCGACGGACTGAGTTTGGTCAATTCTTGAGCTTTATTTTGGTGACATTAGTTTCATGAGTTATAGCTTTTTGACAAAAGGTTGTTACCCTACTTCGTTTGTATAAAAGTTGGAAGTTTTTGTGTTCAAATCGATGTTAAAGCATTTCCATGGAATAGGTGAATAATGCAGGAATATACATGAAAACAAGATCACGGTCCGAGAGACTAGGCTTGGCGTGGATTTTCGGGTTTTATTTTGGAAGATATATGATGGATTGCTCAAGTATCATGAGCTGAAAATTTTAAAGAAAGTGATGCCAATACCCTATATCTTGGCGTGAAGTTCTCGTTGTCACGTTGGATCTAGCTCTTTTTCTCTCTGAAATCTTCTCCAAGTTTCTTCTCTTATCGTGAGACTAATGCTAAGCTGTTACAGGTAAGCGGTCCGTCTTAGCTAAAAATCCTGGTATATGGAGATGGGGTCTTCGAATTGAGTAGAACCCGACTGAGCTTCTTTTGGTTCTTGAGGGTCAATTTAAATTCCGATCCCAAATGTGGGCTGTTACAGTGAATGGATTCAATTTGTATTTATGTAAAGTCGAGTAATGTAGGTTGGACCGGAATAATACTGTAACAGTATTAGAAAATAAATAAAAATCATTATTCTTCATACTTGTCTAGTCTCTAAAATTGTTAGAATCATAATGCTGGATAATAATTCAACTAAATTAAGATTTAAAATATTTAAAAAAAAAAGGTTTTTGAGAAAAAAATTAACTACAACAACTCAATAACTAACTGAAAACAAGCAAAATCCGAAGGGATTGTGGAGTATAAGTTGCCCAGAATGGCTCATTCCGATTAGGGAAAAGAGAAAAAATTTTAATGCAGTACAAAAATGTTGATGCCCAGGATCGAACTGGGGACCTTCAGTGTGTAAGACTGACGTGATAACCACTACACCACACCAACAACCTGTTAGATGCCCATTTGTTTATATATAAATTGAGTAATGGAAAACATAAAATTGAATCCTTTTTCAGTTCTTCTTATCTATACAACTATGAAAGCTTCTAGTATAGTGCCATACTGCTTCAAGGAGTTATTACACGTAAAAAACACTTCCACTCAAGATTCTAATATTTTTCTCGTTATATCTCCCAAATCAGGGACTACATGGTTGAAGGCAATCATGTTCACTTTAATGAACCAGAAGAGATATCTAGTCAGGTAAAATCACCCTTTAATTACTTAAAAACAATCCTCACAATCTTGTACCTTTCTTGGAATTAGAATATGTTGGTAATCAAATGTGGCTTTCTCTTCGTCTAGTAGCCTTTTTGGCACTCATTTACCCTATTTTTCCTTGCCAAAATCAGTGCATGATTCTGCATGCAAGCTTGTTTATCTTTGTAGGAATCCTGAAGACACTTTTGTGTCCCTTTGGCATTTCACTGACAAGTTAAAGCCTTAGGAGACAAGAAGCAATTCACTTGGAGAGGCTTTTGACAAGTTTTGTAGAGGAGTGAGCAGAATTGGACCCTTTTGGGATCATCCAATAGAAGCAAGAAACATTCTGAGAGGATATTCTTCTTGAAGTACGAGGATATGAAAGAAAAGCATGTTGTTCATCTAAGATGCCTCGCCGAGTTCTCGGAATGCCCATTTTCTGTAGATGAAGAAGAAACAGGTTTGTTGGAGGAAATCTTGAAATTGTGCATCTTTGATAATTTGAACAATTTGGAAATCAACAAGACTGACAAGTTGGCATATGGTATGCAAAATAAAACATCATTTGGAGATTGGAAGAATCATCTGACTGCTGAAATGGTGAATGAACTCGATCAAATTACTGAACACAAGTTCAGTGAGGTTGGATTAGTACATTAATTTTGGGATTATTAATCTTATGGATTATTAATTGCATCATTTGATCTTGTTAAATTTATCAAATCTTTGGTTTGGTGGTTTGTTGGAGATCCATTGACGACTCTCTTAAGTGTTTGTTTGGATTGCACTATAATGAAATTATAAAGAAGAGAAATAATAGGTCAAACAAAAATGTAGGCACAACAAGTGAGTCATAGTTGTGAATGTATGGTTAATTATAGTCCTGTTCCAATGCCCATCACTGGCATTGGAAGGAAAACTCGTTTCCATACGTGTCACCATGGTAAAAATATCGAAATCATTCACTTTCAATTAATGTGGGCCATAGCAAGTGAAATCAATAACATTTTATTACTTTGGCCCCTTTGCATGCATTAAACACTAAACACGTCCACCCAACAATAACCCACCAACCCTATTGTAATGTATTAAATCCACAACCCCTCGTACAAGCAGTAAACTACTAAAAAACATTGGTTCTTCTTCTTCATAGTTCATTTCTCTCTGTCACTATCGGTGGGGTGCAAAGGTAACTTGACGAATTTTTTTTTAAAATTTTTTATATTATGCACGTAATTTTTGGGTTCTCTCTGTTATTAGTTTAATTTGTTCTATATCTCTGCCAATGTGAGCCATTTGTTTCTATGTTTTGATTTACGAATAAATTTCCTGTTATAAATCATACACCTTTAAATTAATTAGTTTGATTTTTTTTAATTAGTTTTAGTTAGACTGTTTCATACAATAAAAATAATATACGTTTTTTTAATTAGTTTTACTTGGAGATGTTGGTTAAATGTGTAAATAAATTAGATTGCTCACATGATGATTGATTGTCTTTTAATTATTAATGGAAAACCAATAGGTTAAAACAATTAATATTTTCCATAGTTATATTTTTCAAATTTAGATGATTCATTTGAGCCCTAAAATTGTACCCAATATTATTTTAACAACACCAGCTTATTTTTAACTCTTTTATTTTGTTAAATTTATTTTAGGGTTGGAATCGGAAGGTGATGATAACATGTTTAATCCTCAAGTTAGGGTCGGCGATATTCCCAAAGTTGGACAAGAGTTTGAAACACCCGATGATGCGCAGGAATTTTACAATCAATATTCGCGACTTGCAGGGTTTAGTACACGGATAGCTAACAGCAAAAGAAATAAGAAAACGTGTGACGTAGCATGGAAACTATATGCGTGTTCAAAGGAAGGAATAATAGACGAGACATATGAGGTTAACTACTGAGTTAGGGGATAATGAATGGCTGAGCAGTATGTGTGAAATTCGACAACGATGGGTACCAGTGTATGTCAAACATGTAGTTGCTGCAGGAATGCCTAGTAGCCAAAGATCAGAAACCAACCATTCCTTCTTGAAGGGATATGTTAACAGGAAAAACTCGTTGATGAATTTAATCACGCGTTTTGATAGGGCATTAATTCATCAGAGACATGAGGAGTTAACCATTATCCATGTTAATTTAACATAATAGCCACGAGTAACAACTGCTTTAGTGATGGAAAATCAGATGGTGCAGATATATATGAAGGCAATTTTTTTGTTATTCCAGGATGAACTTGTACAAAGTAATTTCTACTTTTGCTCGAAAAACTCAAGTTCCACCATAGGTAAAATATACACTGTTCAGCGGTTTGAGGTAGGTAAAACCTATGATCGACAGCGTCAGGTGACTTATTTCAACTCTTGTGATTTCATATCATGTAGTTGTCAAATGTTTGATTTCGAGGGATATCCATGTCGTCATATGATTTGCCTTATGAAGAAAAAACAAGTTTTATTTCTACCAGAAAAATAGATAGTCACAAGGTGGACAAAGCAGGCCAAACAAGCCCCTATTTTCGAAACATGTGCCAGTTTATCACATGGTCAATCTTTAATTTCCCGACATGGATTGTTGGCCCATACAGTGTCGGAACTAGTCGAAGAAGGGTCGTTAATAGAAGCTCGTAGCACCTTTTTAATGGCCGAGTTCCAAAATCTCAAAATAAGCGTCCAAGGTATTGATGATGGAGGCGATGTTGGAATGAGTAGAAACATGAGCAAAAGTCGTGAGGAGACACATGTTGTCTGCGATCCAGTTCCAATTAGGACAAAAGGGTATGGGAAGCAATTGAAGTTATCTAAGGAAAAAGCCATGTCACAAAGCTCTAAAAAATGCAGGGTGTATGGTATGGCTGGGCACGATAGAAGAACTTGCCCGACATTGCAACATCGGTAAGAAAAAGCGATGTGTTTATTCATTTTCATAATTATTATGTTTTATTTATTTTTAAACTAATGCGTACAAAAATATTTGTCCTTGCATCAATTTTATTAGGTCGCACCTTGTTGACGAGCCATATCACCCACATTTCTCATACGATTGCTCACAGGATGATAGGTTCACAAGTATTGCTAGTGGCACATATGATGATTTCAACGATTTCTCGGGCGACTTTCCATAGGTCTTGATTTTTCTAGAAGTTAGATTAATGTGTTTGTAAGACGAAATATGTGCCTTTTTCCCTCAGATTGTAAGTCGTGTATTGATATATCGTTTCTAAGTCGTTGTTGGCTGTAGACATTTTATCGTTTATATCATAAGAGTTAATTAATTTTCAATTTGTTGAGGCTAGAAATTTGTTGCATTTTTTGTGATTAGATTCTGCATCATAAAGAATTTAAATACTAAAAATACGTTTATAAAGAAAAATTTGGGTGCAATATTAATTGACTATAATTATTAATGTATATATATAACACTTTTAAATTGGTACATGGGAGGGGAGGGGGGGGCGGTGCTTGACTTCACATAATGGGCCCCACGCTGGTACAAATTGAGGGATTCCAGGTTTTTACTATGGTGACACGTATGGAAACGGCTTTTCCTTCCAATGCCAGTGACAGGCATTGGAACAGGACTGTAGTTAATTAATGTTTGATTTTATTTTTAAATTACAAGAAGAATATGGATAAATTCCCAAGTACAGTGGACTTACAGGCCCCTCACAAGGGGCCTGGGTCCCACATGTATTAAAAAAAAAAATTTGCAGCGGGTCCCACCATGTGAGACACCTGTAATGTGTATGTGAAAACCCTCCCTGTACTTCAAGCATTGTTCGAAGAATATAATGTGTTGGCAAAATATGTTTTGGACATATTTTTCTTTTTCATTAATTTTTGGTTTTATTAATTAAACAAATTCAAAATTTTGTTATCGAATAATTTGGATAAGTTTTAGGAAATTTCGGGTGAAGCGCTGACTAACTTAGTGAGTTCACGCTGAGTCAAATGGTTCGTACATTTGTTAAAATCGATGTAACTCATGAAATTTACCATATCAATGAACACCTATATTGATAGACACAAATTTTTGTACGAGGAATCAGGTTAAATAAGGAAGAGTCATGCTACACTTACAGGGTACTGTTTCACAGGTGATTTACAGATGACTTGCCGTATAAAAGAGAGAAAAGCGAGCGAGGAAAGAGAAAACGCAGGGCGCCCTTCCCGTTCAAAATCCCCAATGGTTACTCTCTAAAACCCTAGAAGCGACTCCAGTTTGGGGAAAATGCTACTCTCCATTCCCGAACTCCGTCTGGCGAGTATGTTGCAATCCGTCTCCGTCTCCGTCTCCGTCCCCGCCGCCGTCCGAAGCTACTGAATCCCCTGCTCATCGATTTGAAACTTTTCAACTGCTGGACGTCCGAAGTAGCAAGCAGTCGACAATCACACAAATCTCCACGTCCCAAGTCCTCGCGAGCAAGTAAGATCCCTTCCGTGTGTCACCAACTCCGTTTAACCTCGTTCTGTTCTGTTCATCTTATTTCAAAATTTCGGTTGGTATTGTTTATATGAACTGAATCTGGAAGCTGGGTTGTGTATCAATTTTTGATAGGTGAGTTTGTTGAAGTTGGAAAATTGAACTTGGATTGGTTGTGTTCTTCTAATTTGGACTTTTGCATAAACCCAGATTTGCATAAACTTACTGCTTTGGTTTGTGGTGTTTAGAGCTCACGAAGAGCATGAACTTACTGCTTTGGCTTCTGACTTTAGAGCTAAGGAAGAGCATAATCTTACTGGTTTTCAGTTTTTAATTGAAGAGAGCATAAACTTATTGATTTGGGCTTCTGCATAAATTTACTGGTTTGGCTTTCTTGAAGCTAATTTATTGTGATATTGTTGCTGCACTGATTTGGAGCATAACATTTGATGTTGCATAAACTTCCTCATTTCAGCATAACAAACTGATTTTGCAGAAACTTACTGATTTGGGGATAACATTTGGATTTGCATAAACTTACTGATTTCAGCATAAACATTTGATTCTTGTTGTTGCATTCCTTCCAGGATGAGAAGTCGGAATTTCGGCTTTTGTCACGGATGTAGAAGCACGGAGCACTTCTTTAGTGATTGCCCAGTGAAACGGCCATGTCCATGGTGTGCACACGGATTGCAGAAATGTTTCGAGGTGGAAAGGACCAATAACAAAGGTCGATTGTTCAAAACATGCAGTAGAAATTGTGGTTATTTTGATTGGGTCAAAAAGGAAGAATCGTTCGGCTCATCAAGTGTCATGACTGAAGCGGTAAATGTGGCGGACATCGAGGAAATTGAAGATTTGCCGACTACGTTTGATCGCCTAGCTCGAATAGCTGAAAGACGAGACGTCGAGGTTTCAGTTACCGTGACATTTCGCAAGGTGAAAGGAAGCGTGGGAGTTAATGGAAAGGGCAAGGAGAAAGCTTGATGTCGATTTATGCATTGAATGTTGAATGTCTTCATTCAATTAATGTCTAATGTCTGGCTTGTGGTGTTTTGCGAAGAATGTTGAATGTCTTTCTTCTAGTATTTCAACTATGTAGATGTTGTATTGTCAAAATTATGTAATGCTTTTCAAACTGACTAGGAGAACTAATGTATGTTGATATTGTAATGACTTGTGAGTTTAATAGCATTTTATTGTCATTAATTCCAGTTGCACTGTCCAATCATTTCGCCTGTTCCATATATATCTTTGCATAAACCAGTAGCAACTATAATACCCAGCAGCTATATATATAACACAGCAACTATAATACCCAGCAAAGAGGAAACACCAGCAAGTATATAACACCAGCAAATATAAACTAAATGCACCAGCAACTATATAGCACCAGCAAAGAGGAAACACCAGCAAATGTTAACCATTAAACCACAGTCAAATAGAAACCATTTCACAGAATGATCGTGAAAATAAAATTGTTACAGAAGTGTTGGGATTGAATCTGTTTCTAAGCAACACCGCAAAAATGGAGAATGTTGTTCGAAAATAAAAACATAATGACATCAAATATTGAACGATAAAATTAGCGGCATCTCTTCAAATCCCTTCAAATCCATTGCCATCGATGTTGGAAGGATTTTCCTGCATAATGTCATAACAATATAAGAACAATGTTGACACATATAAAATTGTAGGAAAAATGCTACAGCACCTGAACACCATGTATGCCCATTTGAGAACCCATTCCAATGACTGTAGATGATTGTAATGGTTGACTGACAATCTGGCTCCCGAAATCACCCTATAGTAAATACCAACATAAGTACGAACGTAAAAAGGGCAAAAATTTTAATGTCAAATATATGTGTTCTAACCAATGGGATCTGTGAATACGAAAACGGCGTAGGCTGCGAACTTTGAATTTCTTGACTGCACTGGACAACGGGAGCAGACTCTTCCACCTGACTACGCGTACCTCGCGATCTCCTATGTTTGATTGAACTCGTACTTCCCTGCATATCATTGTAACGGGTCAGTCCATCGCCGAAATAAAATTTATGTAAAAAGGGCAAGTAGCGTACCTTTCTTTTATTCGAACTGGACTCCAATGGACCTTTTCTCCGAAGTTTTCGTGGCGCACCCTTTCTTTTCGACAACACGGGATCAAATACACCGATGTCGGTAGTATTTTGCGAATTTGTACATTGAGTCGGCTGCGAAGGGACATTACTCCCACCACTTGAATTGGACGTCCTGAGTTGTATTGCTTTCGCCTTTATCCAGTCCATGATAGAACGTGAACCCCCTTCATCTGGTGCAGCGAGGTCTGCCACCTCCGTGAAAGCCATACACATTTCATCGTACCTCAACTGCTCAGGTGTGCTCACCAACCCGTCATAATGTACTGCAACTCTCGTGTGAGCTCTACTGACGTCTTTCCTCCATCGACGCAAAATATACCTCTCTGGCATTGATGTAATGTCATTACGGTCGAGCACTGTGATCGCATGCCTACAAACAATTCCACGAAATTCAAACAGGTGGCAGCTACAAGTAATCTCTACCGTGTCACCACGAAACGACACGGAAAATGTTTTCTTCTTCCGCCCCCCGAGATGTACAACGGACTCTCTAACCTCGTAGTTCATCCCTAGCCAACTCTGTTCGACTGAGATGACGTCACAATAAACCTTTCCTATGAACTCAGCCTGAACTTCTTTGAACTTAGAAATTGTGTAAACTAACTGAAATTGCTTTTCCATCTCGAAGGTAGTTGCGCATGGTACCATCTGCGCGTAAGACTTGAAATCAGCCTGGAACTCTCGTTCAACCTTATTCCGTAATGCTCTTTCGTACTGTTCGACAAATTGTTTCAAAGAAGTTTTTGAATGGACATAACCATCAAAAAAGGCATTCATACTCTCACTTCGTTGCGTTGTCGACATGCCTGCCCAGAAAGTAGTCTTCAAAAAACACGGAACCCAACGCCCTCTGTTCTCGTAAAGTCCAATCAACCAAGCATTATCATGCAAGTCATATGTATCGAGCATTGCTATCCAACCTTCTTCGAACTCATCCTCAGTTTGGGAATCATACACTGCATTGTGTATAGCAGAGAAAATTGAACTTCTATCAACGTCATACCCAAACTTCTCTGGTAACTTTTTCATAATATGCCACAAACACCATCTATGTTTAGTACTCGGAAATACAATCTCAATTGCATTTTGCATGGCTCTATCTTGATCAGTAATTATGCCATGGGGGGCTTGACCTTGCATGCACTGCAACCACGTCTTAAAGAGCCATACAAATGTACTTGTATCCTCATTCGACAACAAACCGCACCCAAGCAGCGTTGATTGTCCATGATGATTCACGCCAACGAACGGGGCAAAAGGCATATCGTACTTATTCGTGAGATATGTCGTATCAAATGTTACGACATCTCCGAACTCTTTGTATGCTTGCCTACACCTGTTATCTGCCCAAAATATGTTCTTAAGCCGTGACTCGTCATCTACATCCATACTAAAATAAAACCCCGAACACCTTGCTTGCATCTCTGAAAAGTACGATTGTAATGCTGCAGCGTCTCCTTCTCCAAGTCGTAACCGTCTCACTTGTTCGATGTAGTTGCGACAATCTTTTTCCACAAAAGTTAAATTATCATACCCACCCGCTTCAACGACTGCGGCGTTGAAACTTTTGTGCACCGGAATCCCTGCCATGTCATTCAACTCGAGCTTTCGTTTCACATTTGCAGTCAATTCTCGATTGCATCGATACAACCTTGACTTCGAAGGGCTCGTTTTATGATTGTGGTCGAGTTGGACGTTGTTAATTCTCCAAATTCCATTATTGTCTCTTGATGCAGTTATCCTCGCTTGACAATTTGTCTGACTTGTTGGTTGCGGCTTCACAGACGTGCTTGTATTCATTAAATTTCGGCCTTCACGACTACATGTGAATGTCACATATCTAGCAATTCCTTCATCCCCCTTCTTAGAATTCCTTTTCCGCGCCGGAAAACCAACGGTGTAAGCATATCTCTTATAAAAATCAAACGCCGCTTTTTCATCCTCAAACGTCATACCGACCTCTGGCACTTTCTCCCCATCTTCTCCAACCGTGTCATCCTCTAAACTGTTCATACTGTCCGCAATTATCACACAATCGGGCTGCAGTAAAGGATCTTCATTCGTACCGTCCATAGTATCGTGCACTACAACAAAAAAGGGAGCAAAATGTTCAGCTTAAACACAAGCATTAATTTATTTTTGCCTATTGAAAACAAGTATTCATTTATTTTCAGCTCTCTTCTTCCTACTTAATTTATTTTTCAGAACATTGCAGCTTACAATGTCCTATCTAAAACAACTAGGGACGATTGGGTAGTATACGATAGTAGTAAGAAAACAACAAGATATTTTGAAGCTTCGTGCTTCCAGTAGAACCAGTGGAGTCAACCTATTTTTTTGAATTCGAATCTCGTGTAAGTCTAAATAAGAAATAATTTATTCCGGTAGGTGGTAACCACATTCTATGGAAAATATCTTCAAATAACAAAATATTTCAATAAACAAATTGTTCCAGAAATTCAATGACTTACCGTTTTCAGCTAGGTAAACAAAATGGGGAGGACTAGGACCAACTCGCGCGACACTTGAAATCAGGAGAATCTGCACCACCGTCGAGCTCAGCTGGGCGAGAAGGAGAAGGAGAAGTAGAAGGAGAAATGGGCTGGGGCGGGAAGGAGAAGCAGCTGCGCGGGAAGGAGATGGAGGAGTAGAAGGAGCACTATTGTTGATGAGAGTCACGATTTCAAATGATTTGTCTCGGACCGGCCGGTTTTTTAAACTTCTGTAAGATGCCTGTGAAACAGTAACCTGTAAGAGTAGCATTTTCCAATAAGGAATTCAAAGACTTTCCCTATTTTTAATTAAGAATGAGTTGATTTGATTTGATTTGATTTGATATTATTTAAATTTTTAATTAAGAATGATTTGATTTGATTTGATTTGATATTATTTAAATTTTTAATTTAGTTGTCTTGTTGTTGTTATTATTATTATTATTATGAACATCAATTTTTTTTTTTTTTTTTTTTT